AAAATATCTTCTGTCTTGCTGTTAGGCTATTCGTTGGAGGTTTTCCTGGCTTTCCTCTCCATGTAACGCGAATGAGAGTTAGTTCCATCAAAAAATCTTCCATGAAGGCTTATTTAAATAGAAGTTCGAAAAATAAAATTGCTTTATCCTCAAAGAGTGTCTTTTTATTTAACTCTTTACAACATAATTTTTAAAATCATAGTACGTATATAATCTTATGACACACCTATCCTCTGCTAAAAAGTTTTTTTTAATCAAATTACATGAAAAATATCTGCGGCAAATCTTAGTTATTTTTTGTATTCTAATTTGTCAATTATTTTCAATGCATAAATGTTTGAAGGACTTAATTAAAAAAGTCAAGTGAAATCATAGTTTACTTGAGAACATCAACTTTAAAAATCCCAGCAGTTGCCGGGAGCTTTTTGTGAAACATATTCTCTCATTAAGAGCCATCTTTTTAAACATAAAATAAAATTTAAAAAAAGTTCTGAACATGAAACTAAACACAAATTTTTTTTTTACCTAAAGTTATGAGCTTTTTCAAAATATTGCTTTTTACCTTTTCCTACTAAGTTTGTTTCTTTATTTAAATCTGTGCATGCATTAATTATAATGTATGCAAAACTGTTTATTTTGAAACCTTAGAGGAGGAAGACAATCTCGCCTCTTTAAATAAAGTGAGAATGTCATTTTATCTAGTTTATATTCATACGCAATTTTTTAAGTGACTTTATTAAGCTAAGATATACCTTCAACTAAAATATTACGTATAAATTGATAGAGTAAAATGATAGGCACTAAGAAATTTTATACTGTTTTTTTATTCCCGGAGACTAAACTTTAACTTCTTTATTAGTTTTCCCTTTCATCACATTATTTTTCCATTAATCACCAGTGGAAGTTGCTGTATACTATCTAATTAAAAAGAGATTTGTTTTATCACAGATTATGTTTATTAAGGTATAAGTCAAAAGGTGACGACTACAGTAATCCCTACAACAAAAGGGCGATAGTATATCAGAATTTTCTGACATTTACTCTTCTTGCATTTTTACGTAATCAAAAGAAATTAAGAGTACACGTGTTTTGAACTACAGACTAAGAGAAAAAAAAGTAGAATTTAATTTTTATGCGTGTTTTCTTTCAAAGACAAGAGAGAAAACATTTAAAAATTTGATCTTTTAACTACTTTGCTCCCTAACTCAGTAGTACGTGCACTTGCTTTTAAGATAATGGTTCATAACTTGATTCACAGCCTTCTGTATAAAATCCTCAATGGAATTTTGTTTTAGGTGACAGAAATTTGTTTTCAGTGTTTAGAGTATATACGAACAAATGCCTTATTTTTACCTAAAAATGGAGAGATAAAAAGAATTTTTTTCAATGCATACCTGGAGAATGACCATTTGTCATACAGGCATCTGAAGGACAGATTTGTTGGTCACTCTTTCAGAGGCACCATATTAGGGAGGCAACGTTGCTCCCTCAGTAAAGACAGATAGTACAGAATGAAAGAGCATCCATGCCTTGCCTAGGATTTCATCCCAGAACCTTTCTGAAGCGAGGCCAGTTTCCTGATCGCTACGCAGGCCGGTTGGCATAAAAAGAAAATAATATTAATGATGATTTTTTTTGCTAGTTTTTACACACAATAAAACAAACAAACTAGTTTTTTTAAAAAAATTTTATATTGATATTTAAAAGAAGGTGTTGAAACTAAATGGATACCTTAATTCTAATAGAATTTGAAACAAAATTTTAGCAATGAAAAAAAATCGTAAAATGTATTTCATTGACGATTTTTTTAAGACAGGTATTCACTGACTATTTTGCTGTTTTGAAGCATTACATAGTTTTCCAAGAACTATATTCAGTGCAACTATGGTACGTCAATGGTTTTCAGAAATAATGAGTTTGCATAATATATACAAATAAATAATATTACTTTCATAGTAAAATGTTTAGGTTGCATATTAATGTATAAGGTTATGCTACACTTTTCACGCGTTATGTATCGAATTTGTATCTGTCACTTTCCTAATTTTATCTGCCATTAGGGAAAAGGATAGAAATTAGAAAAATGAAACAGGTTTCAACTATGACAAAATGTTTTTGATAAAAATCTACTATGACGCGAATGATGAATGCTAGAAAAATAAAATGATAAATTAGAATTTATTAGACACTAGCGACATCGCATTAATTAAGAGGGATTAATGTTTTTGACGGGAAAGAAATAACTCAGATAATTAAGTCTGTGCTATATTCCGTACTTTAGAATCTCGCCTATTTCGTAAATTGAGATACGTAAAGGAATTTCGTAAAAGATGGTTGTTCGTCAGTTGGATCTAATTTAACTAAAATTTGCTCAATATTTAATTTATTCACGACGTTGAACAACCAATTTGCAAAAGATTAGTGGCTATGTCCTTTTTTGATTTCTTATGCTAGTAATTTTAAAAGTAATCCTAAAAACAAATGCTCTTCTTGTATGTGGCAAAACAAATTCGTATGCGCGGGGGACTTTTTAAGTGAAACTAAGTAGTATTTAGGCAGCATGAAGAGAAAAACAATGGTAACCACTAACTGTTGGACTGACGGTAGTGGAAAGCTGTCACTCTATTTTTTATTTTAACTTTGACCGATAAGATGGAAAAATATTAGAATCAGCCAAGCAAGACCAGGATTTGACTTTACAGTCGTGTCCTTAAGAGGTGAATAATCTACCATTTGAGCTCGTACTCAATATTTTGATATCATATTTTCACGCATGAAAAACATTATATAAATTTATATGCCATAAAGTCTACTTTATTTATAGAATACAATTCAAATATAATTATTGTAAAGGTACTGACTTACATTTCAGATGATTCTCTCTTCAATAATCTCTGGTGCACAGCATGGACAACAGAAAAATGGCCAATTAAGTGAACCTCTAATGTAACATTCAAAAATCATTCATTAACAATTGTAAAAGAGTTTTAATCTATTAATACTCAGCTTTCTATGAGAAAAGTAAAATAAAAGGACAGCACACAGGTAAGGGGAAACTTTTTGCATGTGTTTGTTGCAATAGGCAATAATTGCTAAAGTTCTCAGGTAGTAAATTTTAGACAATTGTCTTTTCCATTCCTTTTCCAAGTTTTATTTAAAATTTCATGACAGTTTTTTCAAATCAAATAATTAATTATAATAGAAGACTACTGTATACTAGGGTGCTTCGTTTTTAAACACTTTTTTTATCGGTGTAAAATATAATACCCCGAAAAAGTGGTCAATCCCCGCCATTACCGATACAATTTTTTTCCAAATTCAAATAATATCTTATGTGAGAAGTATGGCCTCAAAATTTCGAAATTTTGATTAAAAACACCAAAACTTCTACGAATTTAGTTAGATCAAGACGGTTATATAATTAAGGTCAAAACGCATCAGAATTACTGCAGTTCGTAAACTGCAGTAACTTTGTAGTAGTACCAACCTCAAAAAGTTCACAGTAAATATACAGTGGTCCCTCGCCATTTCGCGCATTTTTTACATTTTCCAAAATATTCATCAAAAAATAAAAATGAAAACATACAACCATGTTGGCAGTCACATTGCGGAAAGGAGCGCTGTTTCATGTTGATGCGTGAGAGAGAAGGGTCCCTGCATGTCAAACAAAGAGATGAGTTGACTCAGAGTGCCTATACCATGGGCTCTCATAAAGGCGCGTGATTGTTTTCCGGTGCGACATCGACCAATGAGAGTACGAGTGGATTTATCCCTGTGAGTTGATTGTCTGAGCATAATCGCAGCCTCACCCAGTATCTTCTCTTGTTGTATCGCGCCAGTCTTGTCCATGATGTTGACTGTCTCGCATACTGTATTTTAGTGCTGTGTTGGCGATAACTTGTTTTGTTTAAGTGATAACTTTTTTTATTAATTAAGAACTTATAATGCCACCTAAACGCTGTGCCCCTGCACATCCTTCTTCCGGGGCGCCCAAGAGGAAGAAGATGACGACCATCAGCGAAAAAGTGAAACTTTTAGATATGATCAAAGAGGGCAGAAGTTATGCATCTGTGGCACGCCATTACGGGATGAATGAATCTACAATGCGGTACATCAAGAAAGAAGAAGCAAACATCAGCAAAACTGCTTCAATAGCCTTCAATAGAGATGCGAAACGTGTGGTAACTCCACGTAATAAAGGAATTGTGAAAATAAGAGCTGCACTGGCATTGTGGATTAATGATTGCAGGAAAAAGACAGTGAGTTTGAACTCTAATATGATCAGGACAAAGCTCTCCACAACAAAATCTTGCCCGATGACGACAATGAAGAAGCTGAAGAAGGTGCTGACGAACTTCAAGCCAGGAGTTATTCGACTCCTCGAGAACGAAACTTCTCATCCTGCAAAGGCTGGTTCGAAAAAGTTCAAAATAGATACGGCCTCAGAAACGTGCTTCTGTATGTCGAGGCTTCCTCTGCTGGCAACGATGCTACTTGTCGTTACGTGGAGGAAGAGTTTCCTAACCTCATCAGTAAGGGAGGCTACCTCCCTGAACAAGTTTTCATCATGGATGAAACAGGACTTTTTTGAAAAAGGATGCCTTCGCGTACATTCCTCTTCAAGCACGAAATGAACAGGCCAGGCTTCAAGGTTCACAAAAACCATATGACTGTCATCATGACTGGCAATGCCGCAGGTTTTATGCTTAAGTCAGGTCTTATTTATAAAGCCAAAAATCCACGGGAATAAAAAACAAAAATACGGCTCTGTCGCTCGTGTTCTGGATGCATAACTCCAAGACCTGGATAACGAAAGCTCTGACACGTGAATGGTTCCTCCATCGCTTCATTCCCTAGGTGAAGCTGTATCTGGCTGAAAAGGGCCTCCCCTTTGAGGTCCATCTCCTGATGGACTGTGCAGGCGGTCATGCTACGGACTTGCACTATGACGGTGTGCTGACGGTGTTTCTACCCCGAACACTACATCTCTAATTCAGCAGATGAACCAAGATGCCATTCGTGCCCTTAAGGCATTCTACACTAGCTATTCGATGGAGAGCCTCATATCGGTAGTTGACGATGCCAATGACGAATTCACCTTGAAAGCATACTGGCGAAGTTACGACATTGCCCCTTTGTCTAATATTCAGCAAGCATTAAAGGACATGAAGAGTGAGACCATAAAATTTAGCTGGAAGAAATTATTGCCGAACGTAGTGCACGACTATCCAGGCTTCACTCTTGAAGAAATTCATCACTTAGCGGTGGAGAAGGCGGCGAGGCTGGCTCACATCATAAGGAATGAAGGATTTGTCGACATGACAAAAGAAGACATCAGCGCCCTTATCGATTGCCACTCGGACCAACTGACCGATGAAGACCTCCTTGAGATGACAAAGTTTGAAAGTGAGGAAGAAAACGAAGAGGAAGACGAAGAAGAAACTGATAAGCGTGGCCTTACTCAGGAGAATCTGCAACAATTGTGCAACATGGCAAGAGCGATGCAACGATTTGCACAAGACATTGACCACGATATGGTTCGAGCAGTCGAGTTCAGCAATTGCGTTGAAGGGGTTTTGTCCTTGCACAGGGAAATTTTGAAGGAAAAGAAAAAACAAAGACAACAATTACGCATCACCATGTTTCTCTGCAAGGTAAAGCCCCTGGCTCTACCGTCAGCTCCTCTAGCGGAAGAGTCTCCGAGTGAGCCTAGAGCTTCTACGAGTCAAGTGAGAGCCTCTTCTCCCCCACCAACACAAGACTCTTCGCCTCTCTCAGAAAGCAATGTTGATTAATGTTTATTACTGTATAAGGTATTGCAATTAACCTTATTAATTAGCACTGACACGTTTAAGTAAATACGTATACTGTTGTAATTTTTGTCCTTAACGCGTAAAGTATAAATACTGTTTACATATTTAAAACATTCGTGTACCCGTATACACGAAAATTCCTGTGGGCAAATCCTACTTCATGGTTTTTCAGCTTTCGCGGAAGGTTCTGGTCCCCATTAACTGTAAAAAACCCGGGATCACTGAATAGAACAAAAAAAAAAGCTTAAAAAAGAGGCACCCTATTATTATAACTTGACAAACGTAAGTTTCTGTTTATAAATAAAAAAAAATTATTTAGAGTAAAAAAATAAAATATTCAAAAACATAAATAAAAAAAAAAACTTAAGAAGCTGCTTGTTTAAAGCCTATCTTCCAGCAAACCACTCATTGCTTGAAAAAATTTGTTAACCTATCTTAGAGATCTAGTTTTATAGACAGATTTAAAAACATTTAATTACAAATAAACATTTAATTTCTTAATTATCAGTGCCAAGGTTTCTAAGCATTAATGTTTACTGTTTACATGTTAGTTTTCCAAAAATGAGACATGGACTTTGAATTTAAGGAAAGATTAAAATCCAAATAATATTATTTTTCATAAATTTAACATTTATGTTACGAAGTATTTCTTTGTTTCGTGCCTTTTCCATAATTATTTGATTTTTTTTAATGAATTTTAGGAATCTGATATTCTTTGTAAAATTTTATCATTCTTGTAATATAATTTGCTGCAAATCCAATTTCTATAATGTTATACTTAAGAGCTTTTAAAGGGATAATAAAATTTCCTGTTAAGCATCAGATTCGAAATTTATTATAAAATTTAAGAGTCAATATATATTGGTTTAAAACTTAATTTTCCAATATTGACGTTTTGACTGTTTTATTTTTAGCTTTTAAGTGATGCATTGGATCATGATGGTCATCATTTAATTCCATCGGTATTATGACATTTATCTAAGCTAATTAATGATGTTTGAATGGAAAAAAAGATATAAAAGGATTAGATTCAACTTCTTTTGTCATGAATTTGCTGGTGACTGACAAAATGATGAAAGAGAGAGAATACTTAGAGAGTAAACGAGATATGTACTTTCTTTTGTTAAAATTCAAGCTGTTAGAAAGAAATTCTTTCTGATAAGGCTATGGCTTTTAGGGAGGGGGTGTAATATTTTTTTGTTGCATTTTTTGACAATGATAGGGTTAAAAGTTATCATCAAATGGATTTTTCAACATGTTCCCAACAATAGTATTGTATAGATACTTGCAATTGTTAGTTTTTCCTGCCTTTTTCTTATGATTTATTTTAATTCTGTGACAAAAGTTTTATTGCAGAGTAAGTTACAGAAAAGTATGCTCATTTTTTTATTTGTCTCACTTACAAATTTTGCTTTCTCTTTGACCCATGTCTAAGAGATGCTTAGCGATGCAACAAACAATAACCTTGTTAGAAAGATTTTTTGATTGATGTTTAGAAAATCAGGATATCTGAACTTAATTAGAGCTTCGACTTAATTATATATTGATGCTCTTACTAAGTTCCTAAACAAGTTGTAACATATAGTGAAGCTAAAATATATACTATAGAAATGTCTTTGATCTGTTTTCAAACATAAAATTTTATTTAAACTTGATTATAAATTTTAGCTGAAACTAAATCCTTAAAAAAATTACAATATATTTAAAATTTAAAATGTATGCTTTGAAAAGCTTCTTCAATCCATTTTCAATTATTATTTTTTAGTTACATCTTAACTATAAATTGTGGGCTTTAATTAAATCATTAATGTTTTTTTTAAAGTAAAGAATAAGCTCTATTATAATGTTTTCTCAAATTGAAATAAACAATTAAAAACGCCTTTTCTCCTTTTTCATAAACTTGAAATACATAATGGAAACTTGAAACGTTCTTTACCAAAACACTTTGAATACCAATGAAGGTTTTTTTAAGAAACATTTCCTTTTCTTTAAATGAGTCTAGCTTGATTTTGTTATAGAAAAATAACCTTGCTTTTATTATTCTTTTGTTCTTTTAAATTTATAGACTCTTTACAATAAACTGTTTACATATAATACCCATATAAAATTTCTCAATGATTACAAAAATCCTTGAAGTTTTTAATTAAAATGTTGAAAACTGCCTCTAACGATAATAAGTAATTAATTCTAGTAATCTCTTGTTCTTTCAGTACAACTAATTTTAACTGAGGAAACAAAAGAGCTTGAAAATATGAAAACTGTATTTTAAAATAGAATTAAATAAAAATTGTATTTTTTAATATTCTTTCCTTAAGCGATAAAATGTATTTTATTTTTTCTTTTCTTAAATTTCAATTACTAAAAAAAATAGTTTCGGTTCACTAAAAGTAAAAATCTTACGTTTAGTGTTTGAGCTTAATAAAAGGAGGATTTTTAAATTCTAAAATATAGACTGAATCTCTTATATTATTGAAACACTCAATGAATTTTCAATTAGTAGGATTTCAGAAACTGAAAAAGCCAAAGGCGATGTTTAATTTATTTTTCATTAGCATACCTTAAATTAAAGAGTAGTAACTTTGCTTTTTTTCCCTTCCAGTTTACTGCGTTAGGTAAAACTATGACAAATATAAAATATTTGTAAAAAAAACTTAATGTCTGTAAATTGCTGGTGAAATTAAAATTTTTCTGATTGTTTTTCGTTGTAAAATGTACAGAGGTAAAGTTCAATCGAATTTTATGGGTAAGTAAAAACATAAATATCCTGTTTTGGTTATAAATGAACTGTAAACTTATATTTTAATTGTTAATGATTTATTTAACCTATAAATGGCTAATTTTCTACATTTTAAAAATTTATCTTAAATGTTGTAAAGGCTACTGGAATTTTTATTTATTTATTTTGTTAAAGCCAAACAATTAGTAGTTGAAATCCAATGCAAATGCCGAAAAACTGTAAACATCTATATTTGTGTTACATTCATAGAAAAAAAAGGTATATGTACTATAGCAATCACAAAAATATTTGTTCATCTAACGAGACCAATTCTTGAATATGGATACCGAATCTATAAGGTCACCTCAGACAAAATCCTTAAAAAGCTGAAAAGAGTACAACTGAGCGCATCACGTTTTATTACAGAGTTGCGAAATAGCTCCCTAACTAGTATTGTCCTTTATGAGGTTGATTAGCAACTTTTTCTGCAAAAATAGAGTCCTAGTTTTACAAAGTACTACGACAAGCGTTTGAGTTATTGTATTCAACATCATACTGCAAACTTTATAATTGGTTAGCAAAATAATCAGAGACCTACAAAAAGTCTGATAAGTTATGCTGTAAAGCTAGGAGTTATACAATCTTCTGTCGAGTTTAGCTCTTTAAAGTCTATTGCATCACCATTAGAATAATTGTCGAGTGAATTATTTAGTGAATTATTATAGAATTATTTAATCATACCAATTTTTTTAATTTTAAATTTATAGACTCTCCTTTTGGCTTGTTTATATGACTTTGGATGAGCTTTCAATGCACATCAACTGGATAAGTATACAACAATCAGAAAATTTTATGATGTGCCTCGAAAGTATTGGATAGCTGGAGAGCTAATGGAAAGATAGTCAAGTATTGACAACAACAGCAACATTTACTCTTACTAAGACCTACTTAACATCCCAATTACATAAGATAGGCTGTTCTGGAAGCGATTTATAGTATTCCAAAGGGGGAAACTTTAACTTAAACAGACGGTAAAAAGAATGAGACATACTGTAATCAATAGAAATTGCATTTGTAGAATAAAATTGTATTGTATTTTATTTTTTATAAATAATTTTAAGGATAGGTTTACTTTTTCAGTGGAAATAGTTCGCTTATTTCCTCAATAGATGGCTACACTGGTTAGCTCTGCTTATTTTCGAATTCTTGTGAGTTTTAATGGTGTATAACATGATTTGTCACCAGGAGGCACCACTATTGTAAGTTTCAAATGGAATCACAATATTGATATTTATCACAATTTTTAATTGTCTTTTTAAAGGAAATTTTTAGCTGAATTATGGGTATTTAAGTTTATATATATTTAATTAGTATTGTTTTATCACTTTTATAGAGTATTATTGAATTCATGTCTGTTTTTATCGTTGGACTATTTTTTTGTGACGTTCACTGGTGTTGCGCTACTACTCGTGGGAGAAAATTGGTCACGAGTCTAGCGGCATTACCGGTGGGCGTTCCAGGGATTTGGTCCGTAATTTGATTTGAATTTAAAAACAAGTTCGATTTTAGTACAGTTTTAAAGGAATAATTTACTCTGACATTTAATCGCTTCTACTAGATTTTAAGTTAAATGTGCCTTTTATTTTTAACCATTTTTACATGATTTAGAGAATATTGTGATTATTATTTTTAATTGCTTTTAGTAGACTTTAAGATAAGCGTGCCCTTTATTCTTAATTGTTTTTACTGGATTTGGAATATTAGAATAATGAGCCTTATATTTTTAATTACATTTCATTGAAAATATAAGTTCGTATTGCTAAATTTTAAACCTGAAGTAACTAATAATTCAGAAATATGTGATATCTACTTAGTAGCATTTTGAAATGATTTGAGTTTGTTTTCGTTTGAAAAATTTTAGTTTTAATAAAATTGGTTGCAAATGTTAAATGTTTCAAGCAATTCCTTTGTTGATTTTTTTTTGTACCTGGATAACACTGTTGCCAAAGTTAAAATATTGATCACAGCATAGTAAAACCTAAATTTCAGAGGTAACAGAACAATACATTGGAAGTTTATCTTATGTTACATTTTCAGATGAGAGATATTTCTTAAAAGCAGGAATACTGAAAACTGTTCCGTTTTCTGCTCAGAATTGATCATGTATGATATGAAACTAGATTGTGCTTCTGAGCAACATTTGACTGTAGAAATCTGGATTCTTTCAGACAGTCGGAGGGCAATTCGATATCTTCGAAATCGGAAT